TTATCCCTCATATGCTTCCAATAATTCTGGCACTTGTATAGCCTGTAATTGTTTATATCTTACTTTGTGGTAAGTTTCTTGCTACTGCTTCTCATCTTTTGTTAAATCCATCAGCACTGAAAAAAATGCTACCTTGACCAATGAGTGCAGAACTGGACTGTTTCTTAACCAAAGCTTATTATAAAACTATCCTCTCTAGTTAAGGTAAACTATTCCAAAGCTTCACTGTAACTTAAAAAAGTAAACAATAAAATTTCATAGTTTAAATATATTTCATAAGGTTTCTGATTTTTTAAAGGGATTATTTTAGCACAAGTGAACATTGATGTCTTTTCCCCTTCACTTCATTTTTAAATCATTTTATTTAGACTTTTCTATATATACCTATGAAAGTACAACCCCAAAGAATTTTGATTAATCAGGGAAAAGAAAAGGCAGAATTGGTATTTCAATATGTTTCCTAAGATAGTTATAAAGATTCAGTTATAATATACATAGCAGGTGCCCAATTGCTCACAATTTCTTAAACTACAAAATGGTAGCAAATAAATTGTTACAGGTATTTTATGAAGATGAAAACCAATTAAAATTGTGTATGAAGTCCAAGTGGCCTGCCTTCCCCAGAAGTCAAATGGGGCCTAACACCTTCATTATCCACAGGAGGCTCTGAGGAACCTGTGTTGCCTGCATTTCACTCAGATGCACACTCTGGTTCTTGGTCACCTTTCCCTCTCTAAACTCTATTTCCAGGCAGAGTTTGGGCCATAAAACAAAGCACTTAACTGTATCCTCCACATAAAAACTTTAATTCCAAGTAACAAACATACTAAGAAGTTATTTCCTACAAATAAATAAAACAGTAAGTTCAGCAGAATAGTAAAGAAGTATAAGGTGACAATGAACATTCTCTCTAATCTGGGGAAAAAAGCAAGAATCGTGCATATTAAATGTTTCTAATAAAACTATGGCATAAAAGTTTTTCAAACTGATTTCAGATTCCCCCAAGTATCTATTGAAATTAAACTTTTAAAATTTCCTCTAAAAGAAATCCATTTCTGCATCCACCTGTTCCTAAGAACAAGAAATAAAATACACATAAATACTATTTATAGTAACTAAGAAATGTTTAAGATGAAAATTGTAGCATGTATCAATAGTAAAAAAAATTGCAAATATAGTAAACAACATGATTAATCTTTCTTAAACACTTTTTGTCAAATATAACATTGTTGAACATTGTAGTGAATACATTTCTTTAGGAGCTGATGCTATTGTCACAAATGGAGATCTCTCCAAAATGAAAAAGCACCAAAGTAAATTTCATCCAAATAAATGGTATGCATGGTTTGGAAAGTTCCTTGTGGTAAGATTTCATAATGGAGTAAAAATTTAAACTTCTGAATGAAAGCCATTTACATTAGGTAAGGCACATCTGGACACCTCCAGGCATTCTTATTTATAATTACTATTAACTTCTGTAATAAGGGATTTCTGAAAACATAGTCTGTCCTGGACACAATCTGCTGGGTGGGCTGGATAATTAGAACAGAGGAGGCACAGTAGTACTCACTGTCACCCTAGAGTACCCACACAAATCTGTCCATGTAATAATCTGTACAGGATCCACAGCACACTCCTAATTTTCCAGATCCTACATTAACCCAGACCATCTTTCTCTACAACTACACCTACATTTGAAATGATTATAGCATGTCTAACTCTAGCCTACTTTATATTTAACACATACACCCCAAAAGAGAAAGGGAGATTTCCTAAGTGGGAAAAATAGAAATCTTTGAAACTATTCTTATAACAAAGGATGTCCACTCAGCACAAACAGACATGAAAGATCCATAGATGTGTATAACCAAGCAAAATCAAGAACGCCCTTCTTTTCTCAAGTTAGAAAATAAAGCTTTTAGAAGAGCAGCAATTGTAACAGGGCAAAAAACCCTGCTTGATTTAGTTACTCAGTTGATTATAAATACAACCAGAACTATACTATAAACTCAGGAAATTTAACTTTAAGCAATTAACCAAATATGCTCTGTCAAGTCAACCAATTTTTGACTGTTTGATATGGAAGTTTACTTACTAAAATGATTTATTTAAAAAATAACTCAGGTGTACTACTGCACTGTTTTTCCTTTTTCACCAGATAGTACTTTCACTCAAAGTATAAAAGCTAGAAGCAGAATAGGTAATTTCATATAACAAAATATAAAACATGACTATGATATATATTGTAGCATTTTCATATTTATAATTTACTACTTAGCAAAACATCTTAGAATTTCTCTATTAACTCCTGAGTTGTAGGTTTTATTTTCTCTTTGAAATTCAAAAAAAAGTAGTTTCCAACCCTAAATTCAACATAAAACTATACAAAATAATTCTTGAGCTAAGAACTGAACTTGATGTAGAGCTATTTTTCACTTCTATCATGATTCTTTTGAGTTTGTTATGAGATTAAGCATGAAAATGTATGATGGTATGATATGCTTAATGTTATAAACTTTTCCTCTACTGTACAGAAATATATCTTATAATTATATATCATTTTACAGTATTTCAAAATATTTTCACATATATCATCTTGAAGATACGAAAACACAAAAATTAGAAATGTACGAGATAACCAAGCAGCATAACATCTATTTTTTTGTGAAATGCAAGTTAATGTTTATCAATAGCCAATAGTTAGTATATTTGCAGTCTGTGGTACAATAAAGACTATACATTTGCAAAGATTCAATAATATTTCTAGCTATTTGGCCATGCTTCACTGCATTTTTTAACAGCTTCTCACTAAATTTCTGCAGGCATATGGTTTAAAATTTAAAAATACAAAATATCAGCGTCAAACCCAGAGGACGGTTTCATATCTAAGACACACAGAAATACATATCTGTAGCACTTATTTTAAAAACTACTAAATGTACAAAGTATTCTTAATAGAAAAAATTCTAGACGCTGATCATTTTTATCTGCAAAAGGAATGACATCCTCACTTGTTCTCCGCTGAATCATTCTTTCATTAGTTATTTACAGATTAAATGTAGGAAACATACTGTTATATGTGAATATGCATTTAAAAAACAACATGTTGGAAAAAGGCCACTGTTTCAGATGGAGCCAGGCAGTTTCCCCCTTAAAACTAAATACTGTCAAATGGCACTATCTAATCAAACCCCCAATTAGGAATAATATTCTGCAAGTTACACTTCTGAATGTAATGTTTTTACTTTTAAGGGTTCTGATATGCTAGTGTCTAAGTCATTCAGATTATATCCACTTATTTTACTAGCTGGCCACTGTTTAGTAAAATGTTAATATATGGTCACAAATTTTTAATATTATGCACTTAGAAAGTAGCCTGAACATGTTAATGTTATTATGCTTCCAAAATGATAAGATGTTTTGAAAGGAATTAATCATCTTCCTAAAATTCAACCTTATGCAACAATCTACCCTTATTCTCTAACCCTGTAAAACTAGTAAGCTCAGTGGGGACATTGCTACAACTAACACCACGTGAGAGGATCCACGTAGTTCCTGTATGTGAAAAAGAAACTGAAATGTGAAAGCAGATTGTTTCCCTAAATCCTGTACTCAATTCACAAAACAGTGAAAAACAAAACAAAATTTGGCGTAGTATGGGAACTGAAAATGAGAAAATGTTCTATATTTCTTGGAATATGATATATCACAAGTGTCATTAACATTAAAAATATCAGGGTTAAGCAGCTGTGATGTTTCATGTAAACTTTAAGATAATAAAACCCTATTTCTAAAGGCATATGATTGTGTTTATTTTCTAAAAATCCTGTGCTGAACATGTGGATAAATGAGGTAAGTGAAGATATGATGTGATTAAAAAATAGGATATTGCAAAAATGCTTTGAGGGCTAAAGTGAATAGAACTTTTCTTAAAAGCCTAAGAGATACACACAAGTCAATCCCTTTCTATGTGAAATAAAGTAAAAAAAAATGTTTTCTACTAATTGGTTTAACTATACTTGTATGTATGCTTTGAAGTTTTTACCATAGTTTTGTTTTATAATAATTAGTCATAATATTACAGGAATTAATATTATTTGCTCTTACCCACTATTAATATATATTAAGTGCTTCTAAAACTGAGTATATGGAATTTCAAATCTATTCTCAATTTCAAGGTTTGGTAACTTAAAGCTGTACTAAATTGTGTGTGTATGTGTGTGTGTTTTTAAGTAAGATACACTGTGGATTAAGCAATAGTACTAGTTTCATAATCCACATAACACTGAGATATACATGGTTTTAGGGACCACCACCTTGTTGCCAATGCAGGAGGTTTTTATCTTAAATAAATCATTTCCTTTCTTTTTAATTTTTCAGTCATTTGTACTTACAAACAAGCACCAAATTTATATGGAAGCCATAAAAAGCAAAATTGTTTTCTTGAACTTTTGCATCAAAATTTGTTTTTAAGCACTTAATGGAAAAATCATTTTTATTATTTTAATCAAAGAAAATTCTAATAATCAGACAGTTGAAATTGCCCTCTTAGTTCCATTTAAATTTCAATATAGGAGACCATCTGAATGTACACTAGAAATGCACATGCTAACTGGCAAGATGGTGGATTATGCTAAGTGTGGATTTAGGGGAAAAGAAAAAGTCTGTGGGACCAACAAAAGGGCTGGGAGACTCGGGCTCCCCAAGAACATCTATTCTACTTCAAAAATAAACATGTTGAGGCGCTGTAATGAAAACATCCAGATTACTTTGTTAATCCACTTGCAATCAACTTCTTTCTTCCCACTTAAAAAATTTAACCCATAAATCAGGTAAAGGTTTGGCAACACATAAAATTATCCTCTTGATTTTCTTCATGTAGATTGTAATCTCTCAAAATAATCTGACATATCAAATATGCCATGATTATTTCCAGATAGGTTGAAAGCAATTTTAAACTAATTGTTGTGTATAGAATTTGAAAAGATATCCTAAACGTGTTACAGAATATATTCCTTTATTGGGTCTTGCCTTAAAATTAATTATTCATCACATTGTGATCCAAAATCAAAAACAAGGAACAACAAAACGCTTACAACAGAAATCAGAAACAGATGGCTAAAACCTGAAATGTGACTTCTATTCTTTAAGATAAGTTGTAGAGTCTGTTTTCCTCCCTTACCTAAACTTGTGGATGGGATCTCTGATATTTCACTGTGATAGGGTATCATCATGAGAAACTGTATTTCCAGAATTTTCACAGTCTTTGTTGTGATTTTCACCTTCTTCATCTTTTTCAGAAGTAGATGCGTTCTCTTTTTTCTCTGCCAGATTATTCATTGCTTTTACAGTTTGAGGATTTGAATTTTCAGCATTACCATCCTTCTCTGTGTTACTTGGCCTTGCAGCTTCATTGTTGAGCTCTGCACTGGGCCTTTCTGTCTCTTCAGGATCTCGAGGTGCTGCCTTTTTATCTTCAGCTGTTTTGCTATTTACATTAACTGCTGAGGAAGAATTTTTAAGGTCCTTGGATTTTTTGTGCATAGAAGTTTGGCTGTTGTGACTGGAGGCTGGAGGGGCAGGCATTTTCTGGGTTTTACTTCCTTCTGACTGTTCTTTCTTTGGAGGTCCCCAGATAAAATTCTCTGAAGGCGTGTAATGTTTTTGGGCAAAACGTAGGAGCTTTCTCCTTTCTCTTCTGTCTCTAACTGTATAAACAAAATACTCCAGAGCACTCTGTTTAATATTGGGAATAGTATTTTCCACAAGAGCTTCATGAAGAATAAATTTCACAAGAGGAGATTTAAAACTTTCATATCCAAGCTCACCAAGGCTTTTAAGAATACGAGTGATTCTTAAATAGTTGTGCTGGGACCTGGAAGAAAGAATTGAATAAAATGAGGAGGAAGAAAACAGGTGGACGAACATAGGAGTGAAAATGATTGGAAAACATTTTTTTATGGAACTGTAAACCATAGAAATAAGCCTTGTAATGACTTTAGAAGTTATATAGATACCATAAAGAACAAGTTACAAGGTATTAAATCCCTATACCTCAGTGTAATGTCAATCTATGTGAAACTCAAATGTGTACCATAAATTCTTCTTGCTTCTATAGATCTTAATATTTGAAAAATATTTACATATAAATATTATTCCCATTGATGCTGAATTGTTTGTTTTTTTAAGTACACTGAAGATGAATAATCTAACAGCATTTATTTGCAACAACAGTATTGTAGCCATCACAGGTAATCAGTGCTGAGAATACACGCAACTTTACCTATCTGCTGAAATACACAATGTATAATGTGAGCTGATAAGCAAAAGCCTCCGTGTTAGCCAATTCATAAGGAAAACAATAAAAAATACTCTACCTTGCTAGAACAATTCTGACAAAGGATGCAAATCTGTCTCATCTGAGGAGGTGTGAACCTCTTCTACCAAATCATATACAGTGTTTGCAAACCAATGTTACCTCAATTAAAAAAAGAAGAACGTGGAGTTTGAAGTCACCTCAGTTCACACCCTGGTTTTCACTTAGGATTATAATGTCTCTCTAAAGCTCAGTATCCTCATCTATAAAGTAGCCCATACCTCACTGGACTGCGGTAAAAATCAATTGAGTTCATATGCAAAGCATATAGAATTCAGTTCAAATATTTAATAGCAATAGTAATATTAATGTTAAATATTATCTAACATTTATTAAGGGCCACCACATTTGAACATATCCCAGCATAATAATTTAATTCTTTTCTATCCCTGATCTCTCCCCTGCTCTTTTCCTATCAGAGAATTTGAAATTTGCTTCTAATGGCATTGATTCCAAATTAATATTTTCCCAAAATGCACTAAAATCTTTCTTCTCCTAAAACTAAGGCCATCATCAGATGTCATAATTCATAATCTGCCTCCCTTACCTTACTCAGTATAATAGTTGCCTTATTACACATGCCTAGCTTGCATCCCAAAGGAATCCTCAGCTACATAAAATAATGATCTATCTCATTAACAGTCCAGGTATTTACCCAGTATCACTGCAGTTATTTCCAGTATTCATAGCTATCACTAATTTCTAATTTCCTAAAACCTGTTTTACCTCAGACACCAAGTCTTAGATAACCATTGCCGATACCTGCCCTGATTTTCAGAAGTGCTTGCAGTATTTGATTTAGGAATGACTAGCAAATTATTTGGGAAATGAGAAGGATGCTGAATTATTTGAGGGATTGAAGGAGTAGTTCCATGGTCTTATATTTTAAGAAGAGTTTGTACAAGATAAAAATCTTAATGATTCAGGCTAAGCAAATACTGAAAAAGACAAATCTGGAAGTTTTTATTACCTCCTTCCTTATGTGTATTTACCAAAATAGTATTAATATTAAACTCTTTGAAAGCCAAAAAATAAAATATATAGCACAGATGTGTTTCAGTTTTATGAATCTCTTTTTTCAATAGTTAATAAGAGTCTTTTGAGACAATACAAATTGGGGTGACATTAAGATAATGTGACTTAATGGTTAGGTTGGTATAGAATTTGTATACTCTAAAAACTTGAGTAATACCTACTTCATAAGTCTGTGAGAAAGAAATATATGGAAGAGTGGAAGAATATATTTTTTAAATCTCAAGGAGTTATATGGTACAACAAAATTTACTATATTTGCAACCAGTTCAATTTCATAAATATAATTAAGGTGAATAGCCAAGCTAAAATATCTGTATTATCTGAATCTACACATTCTTCAAACTAAAAGATTGGTATTTGCATAACAGTAAAATAGGGCAAGAACTTGGGCTGAAGAGAATGAAGGTCAGGATTCTGGAATAATACTAGTTGAGAAAGAAATTGGATGTTTCGATATGATTAGAAATAAGTATCACAAATAAAGACAAAATGTGGGAAGCAGTCTTCAGGATTGCACAACAGATAAAGAGAGAGGCTAGGTTTCCAGGTAAGGAGAGTAAACAACTAAAGCTGTCAAAAAGATTAGGTAGGTGAAGAAAAAAATACACAAAAGGCAAAACCCAGGGGATGGAAAAGAAAAGAGGGTATTCCAGGATCTAAAATTGGCTCAGTAGTCCAAGATGATTACAAATAAAATTGGAAATACATCTTCATAATTGGTCTGTATATTTGTATTCTCACATTTGAAAGTATTTCATCTCTTTTAGTTACGGTCACTTGTACACTGAACATGATTTCATTTTATTTTCTATCAATAGTTTTTGTTTGTTAGGCTACTACAATATATTGAATTCCCTACCTATTCTTACAAATTCAAGCTACATAATAAAACACAAAATAACTTACTAGGTTTGAGGATAAATCGGAAAAGAATGAAACCACAGAAAGAAAACAGAAGTCCAATATATGCTGAATGGCCAAGTTAAAATGTCTATAGTATGTTCAAATCCAGTCAGAACAATTTTTTTTTGCAATTAAATCAGAAGGGAAATTTGTTCTTGCAAGATTCTAGGCCATTAATTCACAGCTGGAAAAGATCTGAGAAATGCCCACGGAAAGGAAAAAAAAGACAATGGATGGAGGAAAGAGAGTTGCATAGAACAGAGGAGTGAAAAATGACCGTTCAGGCTTCCCTCCCCTGACTCGAGAGATCATTTAACTAAAGCCTTCAGAAGTGCTCTATTTCAAACTCTCAGTTGGAGAATCTGACAATAAAACCCCAAGGAGGATTTAGCTAACATACCTTGTTCATCATTTATTCATCAACAAACATTTACCAAATGAAATTGCTATTCCAACCAAAAACAACTTGAAGATGGAGACTCTAAAATGATAAACCATATGCATATGACTACATGGAAGATGAAGATTCTCTCCAAAGATTTACTTTTGCTATCCTTCATGTCAATAGGCTACTTGCATAAAGCTTCATTTGACATATGATGTGAGTGCTTAGAAACTTTGTTCAGAGCTAGCTACCTGGCTGCTGAGGCAGAGGCATATATTCTATAAGTACCCTATATAAATCAAATTTAACTTGAGTTATGAGTTATTGGGTCTTCTAGTCAGGATCATAAAGCTTTATGTCCTTGTATTCCTTGTTTCAGTATAAGCCCATGATGTTGATTCTAACAATAAAGTAAAAGGAAAGTTTTACATTAAAAATTATATTTGGGTGCCTCCCCGGTGGCGCAGCGGTTGAGCACAAGGTTGCGAAGCTGCCCGCAGCCTCTGCAGTGCCGGTTCGATCCCCGACCGCTGGGTGAGGGTCCCACACGGCACGCAGACCTCTCCTGCTGCCCGCTGCTCCCCTCAGCAGTGTACTTAATCAGTCTGCCTGCTCTGCTCTTCCCTCTGGCTCTGGTGAATTCTCTCACCCTCCCGTGCTTCTGACTGTACCCAGTGCTATTATAAACAAATAAAATATATCTTTAAAAAAAAATTATATTTGGGCCTCCCTGCTGGCACAGCGGTTGAGCGCCGCGCGCAAAGTGGTCCGCAGCCTCTGCAGCGCCAGTGATTCCCCGCCGGCCAGGGAGAACCTCACATGGCGCAGCAGACCTCTGCTGCCTCGCCCGCTGCTCCCCTCAGCAGTGTACTTTGTCAGTCTGCCTGCTCTGGTCCCTGATCTGGCTCTGGTGAATTCTCTCACCCTCCCACGCTTCTGACCTGTACCCCAGTGCTTGTATAAATAAATAAATAAATCTTTAAAAAAAATTATATTTATTTTACCAAAGCACGATAAAGGTTCTAGAAAGATAATAGTTAATTGAAGCATAAAACTCTGATTTGTTTTGGGCACAGAAACATTCCTTCGGTTAGCCTTAATTTTTTTTCTCTTGGTACTTGCCCAGTCAGTTAATTATAATGTGCTAACCAATGCTTCAAAGCTGTTGGTTTTATAGTCCAGCACTTGTAAGGCACCCTATAATTAAAAACGAAAACATGAGCCAGCTTACATGCAAAGAAAGTAATAAGAAAACGACACTTTGGTTATAAGTATTAATAAAAGTTATATAAATATCCAAGCAAAAGCATATAGCAAATTATTCCAAAGAAAGCATTTTAAAATTTTCTTCACAGGTTTGGGATTTATTAAATGGGCTTTTGTTTTTGACCTAGATATAAAATATTTTAATTTTTCCACTTTTTAAATAAAAGGTTGGGGTACATTTCAGGTTTATAAAATGAATTTTACATAGGTTTAATTCATGGATTTAATCTAAAACAGTACCATGCTTGAGGATGTTAGATACAGACAGCCACAAGAAGCTTACAACCAGCTACAAAGGGGATTCAGAAAACCATATGCAAGAAATAACAGTAAATGGAAATAAACATGGCATAACAAGGAAGAGGCCGCATTTGGCTATGGAAGCCAGGAACAAACAGCTCTGAAGTTTAATCACCGTATTTCTACCTGTATTTTTATTTTTCTGTTGTTTTGCCCTGTTTTAGAATATAAATGGGGACTAGAATGCTTTTCAGATTAGTCTTTGAATTCAAATTCCTGAGTCCATCTGCTAGTTGTTCCTATGTTCCACAGATAATTCCAAACAAGGGAAAAAACATGCTGGCTCCCAAAGTATCTTGGGAAGATTTACTTACTCATTCAGATGCTGAAATCTTTCCTGCCAATTAACAGCCCGAGCAACGTTTCCAGTTTTATCAATCAGTTTTATTCCAAAAAACTCTAACATCATTTTATAAGCCAGGAGGAATCGTCTAATTGCTTCTTTTGTTTTTTTGAATTCCTATTAAAAGAAAACAAAAATGCTGAAATGATTCAGTAGCTACCAGACAATAAAACAGCAATGTTATTTGGCCATCTCATTGAAGATAATATGAGTTACATTACCTCAATTTCATATGTAGTTAGTTCTTTAGCATAGAAGTTCAAGCCTTGTTCTCTGAGAGGAAAAAGCCTGTTTTTCAGAAAAATAATAGTTTTACATTAAAAACGGGAAGCATACATGATTAAATAGCACATGGTTCAAGATAAATAATGAATAACTGACCATTGAATGTAAGTGTGGTTGTGCTCCAGCTTTTCATAATCTCCTTTCCACTTATTTAAAACTTCTTCAATGTAAACACCTAAGTATTTGGAAAATGGATCAGATATTTAAAACATTGCTGAAGGCATTTTAAGATTTCATCACTTAATTTTTTTATATTAAAACTTAAAATTAACAACAGCACACAAAAATAATGCTTTTAAAAGATGAACATCATATGCCATACACTTAGTTTTATAATAAATCTAATATTAAAAAAGTTAATAGCACCTCAAATTGCAGAAGGTTCTAGTGGACAGTGTTACTCAATAGCAGAGGTAGGCAAACTATACCATGCCATCTGTCTGATAAAGTTTTATTGAAACAGCCATGCACATTTATTTATGCATTTTACATAACCACAGTAGAGATAAGTATTTACAATAGAGACCATATAGCCCACAGAGCCAAGAATATTTACTACTTGACCTCGTACCAAAAAAGGTTTCAAATCTCTGTGCTAGGAGGTGATACATTTCTTTAAATACCAGATAGCATCAAATTGAAATGAATGGGGGGGGGGCGGGTGGGGATAGAAACAGGAGAGGAAGATAAAAAGGAAAGCAAGGAAAAGAAGAAAAGGGAGGAGACAAAAAAGAAAGAAAAAGGTATTAGGTACCGACAATATGCTGGGCCACAGGGTATACATCGTCCAGCTTAATCTTCACAGAACTCTCCCAAACCAGTAATGTTATCCCAGTATTACTAATGAGGAAATCATGTGATATGTTTAAAGTCACATACTAATAAAAGAATATAGAACACAGATATTTCTGTTTCCAAAAAAGTAAGCCCTCTCCACCACATCCTGTTGCTCATCTCTAAGGATCGATAACAAAATCTTCCACTTCTTAAATCTGTCTATGTCTTTGAAACTGATTATGTGGCCATTGGATAGGGGAAAAAACACAACATACTATTCCTCTAAACATAATTCTTCTCATTTTTGTGACCTCCAGATTTCACGAGTTTGTAGTAAAGGGCAACTCTTGGATCATTTGGTAAAATGTTGCCTTTAACAGCATGTTACAACCATATATCTTCCTAAGCTCTCTTTTGTTCCCCTTTTCAACTACTACCCCTCTTACTTATTTATTAAAATATATTATTGCAGGATTATGTTTACTGGAAAGTATGTGTGTATGTGAGTGTGTATATGCATATACATACTGGAGAAGAAATTGTGTTGAATTGTTGCAATTTATATAAAGCTAGAATAACATTTTATGTGACCTTAGCTAAAATTCCTTATCCCTACCAATCTTGTAAGATTTCAAAATAAATATTTGATGAAAATTACAAAATAGCTAATGCACTGCTTGAAGTTAATGCTTTAAGTTACTACCTCAAAAAATAAATTCACTGTTAGGAACACAAAAATAACTTAGTTAAATACTGTCATATCTGTGTTCAATATTTTTAATATTTGAAGGCATTGCTTTACACAAATTTTATTAAATTCAAAATAAAGTCAAATTAATAATCTATCATAGCATGTTTTCAAATGGTTTCCTTGCCCCAAGTCCTAAAAAACAAAAACTAAACTAAAAGTTTAACTGATACTGTTTCAATTAGTAAATAAAGCAGTATGTTTCAACCACTAGTAAGTACAACAGACCATTTTTAACCAGGGTTTTCCTTCCAAATCAGAGCAGAATTTTGGGACACCCAAAAAATAAATTAAAGACACATGAATCTGGCCATTTCTGCGACTTTCTTAGGTTCTATTTCCCAACCAGTGCATCGCTTTGCTAAGTATAGGGAATTCCTCCTCCTGGCGCTACCAGCCTTTAGGTTTCTTTTCTCTAGTCAATTCACCAAAGTGTCAGAATACAAGGTTCTGACACTTGAATAGCTTTGCACTCCATTGCTTTCATTCCCTGACATATTGCTGTGGATTTGGCTTGGTTTCCACTGAGAGCAAAGAGCAGGAGCCAGTGCCATCTGGTCACCTCATGGAGAAAAGGGCTCTAGGGATAGAAGCCAGCTTTTCTGGCCTGACCTGGATAAAATTAGGATGACCACCATAAACACAGCACGATGTCTCTATGAAATATGTATATGCCATAGGGGCTACATCCTCTCACTCCAGATTTAAAAAAAATTCCTGAGGCCAACTGTAGAGTTGTTAAGGCGAACGAAAGTTTATTTGGCAGTGTTACAGAGATTTACTGTACTGTAGATCCCTTCCTAGGATAATAGAACATTGAACTGGGACCCCTGAATCCAAAAATCAATAGCAAAGTTAATTTAATAAACATCACTTTTCAATTATGTTCCAAAAAAAAACTCCAGGTATGGCACAGTGGAAAGAACAATGAACTTGAGGAACCAAGAATCAACTCTACAATCAAATGACCCAACACGTCAGTCATTCAAACTTTAAGACCCGCTGACCATCTTTAAAAGAGAAAGCTGAATTTGATGTCCCCTAATGTTCCTTAATAATCTAATATTTTATAGTTCTATAAATTTCTTTCCTTTTCCTGTCACAAAAATGGCCCAACTGCCTTTCAAATAATGAAAGATATTGTTAATCCATAGTTATTTCTCTAGCATTTGCCAGAGTTAATGCTCACGACTCTAGGGTGTAGGACTTTAGGGACACATTGGACTGCATTGCAAAGTACAGTCAGTCAATGAACAAATGCATTAAGGATGTACTGCCCATAGAATTATGAGTCGGCTGTAATATGTTTTGAAATGACCCCTCCCTGTTGTAGCAGACAAGGAAGCAAGATCATCAGCATAGACTTGAAGTCCAAAACAGCTAAGCAAAATTGATGCCTTTAGATAAAGCCAGTCTTTTCACCCCCACTGATGACCAGGAAGCCAGATAAAGGTTTACCAATGGTTAGCCAATGTTTGCAGCGCTGTGGCGCATACTTTAAAGAGGAATACATGAAATCCTATATTGCCTTCCTCTTTGATCACATACCTTTAGATCAGGACAACTCAGAACTAGAAGCCCTCCTTGTCAGGAATAATTGTAATTGTTATGTTAATGACTCACTGCTCCTGCCTATATAAACTAAATCCAGCACCCCTAAAGGTGAAAAATTGCTAAAATTCTCAAAGAGTAAACTCTGTCAGGCTGCTTCCTGGTTCGAATCCTCACTGGTTATCTAATAAATTCTTTGTCTGACTGTCATTAAGACTATTTCCAGTTAGACTAAACAGCGAATAACTATTATACATTATTAAGTCAAGTTAGCCTTTACCAAAGTAGTAGATTACTCACCATCTGGCTTAAATGGAATTTTATTCTTATAAAAACGAAGATTGCTCAAATCATTTTGATATCGGATATCTTTGAAGTTCTGCTAAAGGAAAAAATAAATCAATCTCCAGCATTTGGATAGGTAAAAAAGGCACAAGGACCCTGTAGCATGTTTGCTCATCAGCACCACAAATAAGGTAACAGAAAATATTTCACATTTTAGAAAAAGCATTCTATACTCTTACTGGGTACTGGTGTCGGTATTTGTACAAATCCCTCGCAGCATAAAAACTTCTCTTTGGTTTGGCAGATGCTTCAGTGGAATCACCACCCTAGGGTCAAAAGTAAATTTCCATTTACATGTTGAAGCAAGATAATTTCCTGATTAATTTCCAAAACAAAATTAAAATAATGAACATCCATAAAGTCTGAGAAGTATCAAGTTATCCAAATTAATGAAAATATTATAAATGTCCTTTTAATATTGCTTACAGTCACCATTTTCCTGATTTGATTTAAACCCAAAGTCATTTGTCCTAAGGTGCTTACTAAATAAGAAACATTTTACCAAAAGCTTATAGAACTATAGACCCGCCAACTGTTAAAAGTTGGTATCCATCAAAAATAGAACACAAAATGAAGTCAAGACATATATTTTACCACAGGTTACACAAGTGATTCTATGACAAAATTTATTTTAGAACACTTTACATAATACTTAAAGTGTTGAGATAATTCTACAAAGAGAATTTTCATTTTGTAACATTTAGCTTTGCTTGTTAGTCAAGTAATATTTAAGAAGGGCAAACGGGCTTTTAAAACAAACTAGTTTCTAAACTTTATCCTAAAACACCATAAAAAGTACATCAAAACAATCTGCTAATTCAGTGATAATAAAATATGATATAAACCAGCAAATATAAAATGCACAGACACAGCAATAAAAAGCTCTCAAATGAAATGAATTTCCAATTGTAGTAGCTTATATGTGATATTTTAATCATGCTATTTATATTCTAAACAAAATTTCCACCACTATGAAGTAAATTTTAAAGTATAAAATGCAGGCCACTATAAATCAATTATGGCCTCTGTAAACTTTATGTAGTATGGCAATACCTAAGAAAGTGCTTTTGTGTCCAGTGTCATGCAGTCAGGACAATGAGACTAGTGACAATGATTAAATAGAAGACAAAATTTAGATATGAATATTCATTAAGAGTTTCATCCCCAATCCTTGTCTCATCACCTCCACCCCCCATCTGCGTTGACAGACTGGCATCCTGTAAGCAATTTTCGCACATTTTTAAAGTGGTGCAATTCTCACTATTACTACAAGTACAGAGATACTTTAACACCAAAATCTCTGATGTTTAACATTAGCTACTCTGTCATGTTACATAAGCAAGGAAAAGCTTAAATTCTGGTCCTTGCCACACGTTTCAAAATAGCTCTGCCTAGCAAGTTTCTGAAGCTATTTAGCTTGAGCTACAACCACATGAATCATCATCCTACATTTGTATAGAAAGCACTTTTCCATTTACAAAGCACTTACATGTATATTATTTCATTGGATTCTGATAACACACCTGGCTAGCAGTTATTAGTGTTACTGATAGCTTAAAAACAAGGTAATCTAGGCTTAGAGAAGTTGATCAAGACCGAGATCCCAGGAACTACAATCCCAAGCTGCAGCCTCCAAGTCCAACTAATTAGATGTGATTATTTCAGGCCCAATTTCAGCACCCCTAAAAGTGCAAAGGATCATAATCAGAACCCTGGTATAGTGTCAATAGCCCATGATTTAGAGTCAGGTGACTTGGGCAGAGTCATATCTCTGCTACTTATTTGTAAGGCCTTACGCAAATCACTTAACTGGATCTTAGTTTTGCCATCTGTGAAATTAAGGTAATGACTCATGTCCTACACACTTCTTGGGATTATCATGAGAATGACTGAATCCTCCAACTTCTAAATGTACCAACCTACCAACATCCATCCTTGCTCCTCCAACTTCTGCTCCCTTTGAACGCTTTTCTATTCCTTTATCATTACCAGCTCTTCAAGGATTTTGTTTCTTAACACTTTGAATCATCAACATTTCCTCTGTTCTGGATCATTCCCTCCAGCAAACAAACAAGACAAGAGGTAGTATCTCTAATCTTAAACACATAAAACCTTCCTTGATCTAAATCCACCCTCAATTGTTGATCCTTAGCTTTGCTTCCTTTGACAGTAAAACATCAACAAAGAGTTGCTCATACTCCATGTCTCCTCCTCCCCTCCCAAGACCCATCCCAATCAGGCTTTCATCCTTAGCATTCCATCAAAGGGGCTCTTGTCAGTGTCACTAACTTATCTCTATCTTGCCAAGACATTGCTCAGTGCAGAGCTCAGCTGACCTTTGAGCTACATGGAGTCAGTTAACCCCTCTCTCCTTCCTGAAAGTCAGATACCACACCTTCTGGTTTTCTTCGGGGTTCATTAGTTGTCCCCCATCAGCCTCTTTGGCTCCTCCGCCTCTTCAACTGCACTAAATGGAGGAGTGTTCAGGGTGTGATCCTTTGTCCTCAGCACTCTTTGATGACCTCCTTATCGCCCATGACTTCTAAATACCACCAATATCATATGCTAATTCCAGTCCTAGGCTGAGGCTCCATTCAGAGACTCAACAACTGCAGTTGGTATCTAATAGGATACCAAATTCAAGCGAATTCTTGATTTAATCTCTAAAGATGTTTTCTCCCTGGACTTCCCCATCTTAATTAATGGCACTATCATTTGTCAAATAGTCACCTGAACAACGACAACAGTAGAGATGGTGAGAAATAATTAGTCTGAGATACATATTAACTATAGATCCAGTATCTGCAAATGAATTAGACTGTGGGGAATAAGGCACAAATGGGATTTAATAGTCAAAAAGCAAAATAAAAAGATTTTTTAAAAGAGTTAGATGGTAATACTAACATGAAAAATAAATTGTTAAAGGGGAGAGGAAGAGTTAATGTGGTCTACCAGTTACTGGGGTTGCATAGATGGATCTAGTTAATTAGACTGATCTGAACTGGGTTTTTGGGGAAGGGTTGGTTTTTTTGTTTTTTTTTTTTTTTTATAAACAAAATTCTTTAGAAGGTAACTTATTTTAGAAACAAGTAGAAAGGAGAAAAACTGGAATATAACATCTAATATTTTTCTTGGGTTGAAACTGCAATACATAATGACCCGGAACACAAGGGGCAGAGGAACAGTCACAATTTCAACAGGTTAAAGATTGGTGTCATACACACTTGGGCCTGAATCATTCCCTCCTAAGTATGTTCTTGGGCAGGTTCTCCTAATCCTCAATTTTCTCTAAACCGGATTAAAAACAGCAACTCCCATCCCACTCCAAAATTGAAACTAGTTAAAATAACATGTTTAGCAAGGAACCTGCACTAAGGACTTTATTTTTTCTCCCCCTAAACAGAGACGATCATCAAAATGGATGAGCTGAAATAAATTTAGTGGTGACTCCTCTACTCTAGCAAAGAATCCTGTGGTCACATTTGACTTTGGGCTGCATTTTTCACTCGTTTCCCCATCGCTGATAAAGAGCTGGGCCTAATGGAGAATCACAAACCTCAAACACCCCCAGGATGCACACTTCAGAGGGTTACACAGTTCCTCCTTTTTAAACTTTTCTGAATTATAAACGGGATATTTATCCCTTTACGAACCTCTCCTCCAAATTGTATTAGGTAAAATGACTTAAGCACAGTTGGATCAACAAGTCTTCTGGACGAAATACAATTTTTGAAGAGTGCCCTGAACTCCTAGGTTTAAGGCCTCACTTAGGGTAAGAAAAAACTGTGGCGTTTTAACTTCAATGCAGACTTCCTGCAATACTTTTAATGGCTGGAGACCCCACCGCAGGGGAAGAGCTCTCGCCGCCCTCAACTGCAGTCCCACCTTATTCTGGGTCATTTTTACCAATAACACGCACTAGCTCGGCTTTCACAACCCCCTATTTTTAGACAGTTTCCTCCCAGCCCACCTTCGCATCACCCAGCTGCGCTGCAAAGAAAACACCCGGAAAACACCCGTTCAAGTTGGGTTCTGCCTTCAGGGACTTCCTCGCCGCGCGCGCGGTCAGGCCCAGGCCGGCAGCAAGCGGCCGCGGCGCTCGGGCCACCGCAGGCCCCCGAGTCCGCCCGGAGGGGTCAGCGCGCGGAGGCCCCGCAGCCGCCCGGCGCCCCTGCCCCCTGCGCGCGCGGGGGCCGCTCGGCGCTGGCTCCTCGCCCCGGCGCGGTCCCTTCCTCCGGCGCCGGGGCCAGAGGCGCCCCGGCCCGGCCCGAGGCCACCGCGGGGCCGCGTACCTGCTCGGCGCCCGCCGCCTCGGCGTCCTCGTCCGGCGCGGAGCTGGTGCGGGGCCGCCCGCCGGCGCGCTCCGGGGGCTGCGCGGGCTGCTCCGACTCCTGCCCCGGGCCCTCCCCGCCGCCGCCCGGCCCCGGCTCCTCCGGCTCGGGCTCGGGCTCGGGCTCGGGCTCGGGCTCCGAGTCCGTCTGCCAGGTGGAGTCGCAGTCCTCCACCGTGGTGGGCTCGCGGAAGCTGACCCCGCCGAGCAGGTTGCCCATTGAAGAGGCGGCGGCGGGCGCGCGCTGCGGGCTGCGGGGCGCGGGCTGCGGCAGGCGCGCTAGGGCCCGGGCATGGCCGCGGCGAGGGCGCTGGGCGGCAGCCTCGGCGCGCCCGCCGCCGCACTGCCTCAGCGTGGTGAGCGGCAGACTGGCACACTTGCGGGGAGGAGCTGGAGGCCCCGGGACGGCCGCCGCCGACGCTTGAACCCGCCCATCTGGTTCCCTCTCCTCCCCGAGGAGAGACCAGCCGCTTCTGGGCCCGAAAGCCGCGGCCCCTGGGGACGCACCTCATTTTGCATCCCCCGCCCCCCCTCCCGACTTGCCTCCGCTCAGCCTTAGAGGGCCCCAGGGGTAGATCTGGGCCCGCCACTGGCCCGCCAGCACCCCCGGCCCCCATCCTACCCCGGGTACAGACACAGCCCAGGATGGACACGACCTGCCCGGGGCTCCGTCCAGCTGAGCGAGAGGGGTGCCCGCTGTGCCCTGGGAGAGGCGGCTCGGGTGGTGGTGATGTGAGGTCCTGGAAGGTGTCACCGTCTGCACTCCAGTCCTGTCCACACGCGCTCCCCCTCTCCAGGCTGGTCCAAAAGGAAGAAAAATTATCTACAGCAAAAGACAGAAGGTAATGGTGACCTGCCACCATAGAGACAGAAAGCCCAAGCTACCACTTCTGCATTTAGGGCGGCAACCTAGAACTTGCCCAGCAACCCAAAGTCAAAGCTGTCACCTCATCTAAAGAGCAAATGTCTCCTGAAACAAAAGGAGCAACAACCACTAGACTTTCACCTTAGCCTGTGGTTAGTTTTACTAACACCCAGTCCAGCACTCTGAGTAGAACAAAAACTAAGAATCCTCTACCCCTTGGTCTGTTCTGTAAATGAAAAAAGGAGGAGAAAAGGTGTGGTAAAAGTACTTAAAGATAAAATAACATGATACAATGTGGCCTAGAGAAAGTAGCTATTGTAAATTTTGTATTAGGAGCTAACTTGAAGAGAAGACTTGAAAGACAGCCTCGTTTGTAGCACCCATGAAACTTGATAGGGACTCGGTAAACATTGGTTAAATATGTGCCAGGAAAGTAGGTTAGATATGTGAGATTGGACTTGAAATAGAGTTTCTTGTTGAATGTTTCATGATAAAAGAGGTGGCTGAATCAAGGCAAATGGGTTCTTTCTAGGGGAAGCATAGTAAGCAAGGTGCCCAGTCCATAGGTGCAGACATTGCCGCAGGAGATCCCAAATGTGGCCCTTTTCCTAATTAGTTTCTGACATTGGACAGGTCATATCTGGGTTCATCTTCTGTTGCCAGAGGACCAGAACACACTGCAGAACAGAATGCCACTCATCTAATTGTGAGTATTTCAGACATAGAAAATCTAGGAATGATTGCTGTGGCCAGGTGCTGCTGCTTTAGGCATGTGTAGACTAAAGTGTGTAATTAATCATTTGCTTTGCTCTCCTCCTATTGAGAGGTCTAATCTAATTCTCCACCTTTTTGAATCAGGGCTGGACTCTGACTTGCTTTAAAACAGACTGTAGGGCCTCCCCTGGTGGCACAGCGGTTGAGCGCTGGGCTGCGAGGCTGCCGGCAGTTTCTTCAGGGCCGGTTCGTTCCCCGCTGCGGGTGAGGGTCCCACCAAAAAAAAAAAAAAAAAAAAAAAAGCAACCATGGAATGTAAAGGATTTTCAAAAATAGTACACCTGGGATTTTCAAGGTTAAGCCATAAAGAATCTTACAACTTCCAGTGAGATATTGTAGAAGCTACTGTCTGGTAACCCCAAGCCTCTGTGCAAGAAGTTCAACTACCGTGAGACAAAGGCAGTTGAACTCTACCTTCCAACATTCCCCATCACATCCTGCTGTTTTTTCCTCTGGCTCCTCCAGGCCAGCCCATCCCTCAGCTGAACACCGGTGAACTTCACTGATGCCATGTGAAAGAAAGGAGCCAGCAGAAACCTGCTCAATCCCTACCAAAAAGTGATATATGGTGAAATAGCTGTCATTTTAAATGACTTAATTTTGCAGTTTATTATACAGTAGTTGATAATGGTGGTGCAAAAAATATCAGCATAAGGGTATATGTGCTTGTGTATTATAACTGCTGCAATTAATTCCTTACCTTTTCTATCATCTTTTGGCAAATATACCAATTTTTATAGGATTATAGATTTTGTGCCAACTTGTACAATATATTTTCTAAAAAACATAATTATATATGAAGTATTACAGCAACTTTAATAATTTAAAAAGTAAGTTTACAGGAATAATTAATCATATTATATTCAATCTGTTCTATTCTAATCAATCTGTGTATTCTAATCAATCTATGTATTAAGAAGTTAATTCCATAGGTCTCTCGTCTCTAGGCTTGGAACACAGGAATTGTCCTACTAAAAACCTGAATTTTTCATTTCCAAATTTTGAAAGTATTTAACATTTCTGCATTGACACTAAAAAAGCATGTCTTTGCTTCATATAAAAATAATTTCAACAATCAATGCCAGGCCCATGTTAATTTATCAGTATATGTATTATTATGTATTTATCATTATTTACCCAATATATTTTCAAAGAATATTGAATTTAACAATAATATAAATATATTTATACTAGCACAATGTCCTATTCCAAAATATAACCTCGATTCTGAGTATCCAGAATCTACCCTAAGGCTATACAGATACTATAGTCATCCTCACTATAACTGTTTTCAGTCTCGTCATGGTTTCCATCACAGTGAGACCCTTGTAAGGAACTGGTGTTTCAGAAACTAAAATATTTGGGGGTAAAACCTAATGTATATATGACATACCTAAAATTGATTTTTATAGTGAATTTTTTTTTAGCAATGTTAACAAATAAAGTTCATTTCTTACATAATTTTGACAAGAAAGGTTAGATCAAAGACCATGTTATCCAAACTTAGGAGTTAACTTCTCAATAGCTTCCTGGAACTTAAGACCTAAGGAGGAAAGCAATAGGGTTATGTATTATTTCTGGTAGTATTTGTTATTCAATAGTAAAATAAAAATGTAGGGTGTAGATAACTGACATCCTCAAGAGTTAGATCTGTTCTGTCTACACTTATGAGCTGTTTTCCACATCCACAGGAATATTGGTTAATACCCAAAGCAATAACATACTGTATTTATGCAATCTAAAAAATAATTGATTCTAACATGCATTTTGTTTTAGAGATAATTAAGTCAGAAGAACTATATAATATAGAATCCATGCTAATAGAGAAGTTAAACATTTTTAAACGTTTAGTTTATTCCTAAGAAATATTTTACAATTCAAAGACCAATTCTAGATTCATATACAATACTGAGTTATTTTTTTTTCCAGGTATGTGACTTTTTTTATATTTAAATTTTATTTTTATATTCCCCATACAATTACAACCCCCTTATTTTGACCCCAAGCCCTCCTTTCCCCGCCCCCCACCCCCCATAGAGTGTCTCTGGTTCATAGTTGTTTATTGATTTTGATATTTTCTTTCTTATAGTTATTCTTTTTCCTGGTCCCTTATTTAAGTTTTCTAGATTCCTGCTATGAGTGAGACCATCCGGTGTTTTTCTTTTTCTTTCTGGCATATTTCACTGAGCATGATCCCTTCCAGCTCCATCCATGTTGCTGCAAATTGAATGTGTTTATCTTTTTTGAATGCTTTGTAATATTCCATGGTGTATATGTACCACATCTTCTTGATCCAGTCATCTATTTTTGGGCATTTGGGTTGTTTCCAAAGCTTAGCTATTGTAAACAGTGCTGCTATAAACATCGGGGTGCAGGTGCTCTTTGGAATTGATGTTTCTGTGTCCTTTGGGTAAATACCTAGGAGTGGAATTGCTGGATCATATGGAAGCTCTATGTTTAGTAGGTCAAGAAATCTCCACACAGCTCTCCATAGTGGTTAGACCAGTTTGCACTCCCACCAGCAGTGCAGGAGAGTTCCTTTTTCTCCACACCCTCGCCAACATTTGTTGTTGCTAGTTTTATTAATATGTGCCATTCTCACTGGTGTCAGATGGTATCTCATTGTAGTTTTGATTTGCATTTCCCTGATTACAAGTGATGTTGAACATTTTTTCATATGCCTGTTGGCCATTTTCATTTCCTCTTCAGAGACGTTTCTTTTTAGCTCTTCTGCCCATTTTTTGACTGGATTATTTTCTTTGTTTTTTGTTGAGTCTCATCAGCTCTTTGCAGATTTTTGTGATCAGTCCTTTATCATTAGTGTTGTGTGCAAAAATATTCTCCCAGTCGGTGGGGTTTCTCTTTGTTTTTGTTATTGTCTCTTTTGCTGTGCAGAAGTACAATACTGAGTTTTTTCCCAGAGTAAAGCCCTGTGTACCAACTTTAGTGTTGCTAAACTAATGCTAAGTTATCACACTAAATTTATTAATAAGGTAAAGGTAAAATAAAATGTTCATAGAATATGAGTGTTGAATTAGTGTATAATCAATGGAGGTAGTTTGAAATTTATTTGCATACCTAAGCAAATAAATTCAGGTTGTAGACTATAAATAGTCATGCTTAAATTTAAAAATAAATAAAATTTATTAGCAATGTTTGTTCATATCTGGACTCTTCAGGAGTATTTAGACCACATTAGGAACTTTTCATTAATTTAAAATGCCATAATGAAAACAAACTTACTAGACTTATTTATTTATTTATTTATTTACTTATTTTAATGAAATGCCTTGCTCATTTTTTTCAAAGTATGGAATTTCTCCCCTCAGGTATGGTCACCTTAGTTCTCCCATCACCAAAGCACCCATCGTCCTCCTCCACAGTCCTCTGTGCTCTCCCCTCACCCTGTTTTCTCCCCTTTCCCTTTCCTCCTCCCCCACCTCCTGCTCATTAACTGCCTCATATCTATGGTCAGCTTTCAAGGGTCCATTTTAAAGTTTGTCTCATCTTTTGTTTGGTTTCTCTATATTCTACATTTAAGTGAAACCATCCAGTATTTTATCTTTCTCTTTCTGGCTTATTTCGCTTCGAGAGCCCTTCCAGTTCCATCCAAGAACATTCAAATTTTTAAGGAAAATTAGTACAAACTCTGTAAGTTGCAGAGTGTCTGCCCTTCTCTTTTAGTTACTTGTAATCTTGTGAA